CTTGGTGCCCTCTTGCTCCCAGTGGGGCCCCTTCCCCTTCCTCCCTCTCTTCCCTGCTCCTCCCTCCTCCTCTTCCTTCTCTCCATCCTCTCTGCCAGCGAGGGCACGTCCAGGAGATGGGAAGCACGCCATAACTTGAACAGGGAAAATTTAACGGAAAGAATCACTAACTCTAGCAAGGGCTTGAAATCACCGGGGATTGACTACTAAGAAGTACAGACAATGCCAGAGAATATAGGATTTGCAGATATGTTGGGCTGCCAGTACACCTAGGGCTGAGATGGGTGTCCAAGGGAGAGACTCCCCCTCCCCAGATCTGAGATCCAGCTCTCCTTGGAGATGGCCTGGTCATGGCTCACTTCTCGCGTGGAGAAGTTGCTGAGAGGCGGTGGTGGTGGAACTTGCTGGAAATCCACCGTCTGGGGTACAGGGGAAGTTGTTCACGGGGAGGTTGCTTTGAAGCATCCTCAGGAAGTTTTTGGCTGCTGGACACATCCAGTTGGTCACGCTCTGCAGGAGCTCATCCCCGGGGAAACTTCACTGCAGGGGACGGGTGCTCTTTTTCTATTGGTCTATTTATCTATTCCTGCCCTAGTACCATACTGTTAACCTACAATTACTTACTGTTTTGTGAAGACAAATCCTCTTACCTAGTGATTTTCAACAGCGTCTTCGAGAAAAAAAGTTTAGTGTCTTCCAGTGTTTGGCCATCCTTTGTCTTACTGGCCTGGATTTTCAGTAGAAAGTTGACTGGAAATGGTGATAGCAGATATTTCTGTCTCCTTCCCTTTCAGAAGGAACTCTTTCTCCAGTTGGCTATTCATTATAATGTGTGCTGTAGATTTTTTGTTAGATACCCATTTTTAGGTTAAAGGAGCCCTCTTGTAGTCTTTGGTGGCTGGGAGTTTTGTTTTGTTTTGTTTGTTGTTTGGAACTGTGAGTGGGTGTTGAAGTTCATCACATACATTCCCTGCTGTACTGGAGGTGATCATACAGCTGTGCCCTTCGTAGGTTAACGTGATCAGGTACAGATTCTGACTCTGTAACATTAAAGCAGCTTTGCAGCGCAGGTGTAGCTCGGCTTCATCATGCTGCATGTGACTGGATTCAGTGTGAAATACATTTTTAGTATTTTTTACATTCTGTTCGCGTCCTTTTTCCTGCTGTGCTTGTTCTGACTCAGGTATCACAGTTATGCGAGCCTCACCAAGTCGGTTAGGGTCTACTCTCTCTTCTGTTCTTTGGAAGAGTTGTGTAAAATGGAATGATTTCTTCCTTCAATGTGATTGGGCAATAAAGCTGCCTGGGTCTAGGATCCTTTTTTTTTTTTTTTTTTGTGGGAAAATTTTCGACTGCTGGTTTGATGACCTTAATGGGTACGACTGCAGGTGCTCCCTGAATGTTTTACAGAGGCGGTTTTTGGGAGCTGTGTTCTGGGGTTTTGTTCATTTAATTTAAATTTTTAAACAGTGTGGCCTAAAGGTATTTGCACTATTTTCTGACTTTCTTTTTTGATGTCTGCAAGATCCATGGCCATGTCCTCTTTGTCATTTCTGAAAATTTAATGTCTTTGTTCTTTGTGCCTTTTCTCCTTTTTGATCAGTTTTCCCAAAGGTCAGTCAGTACTGAGCTTTTTGAGGAGTCACATTTCGGATCTCAGTATTCTCTTTTTATGACTGCTTTCAATTTTATTAACTTCTTGCTCTTAATCTTTTTTTCTTCCTTCACTGTTTTGGGTTGTTTTATTATTCTTTTTGTAATTTCTTGAAGCAAATGCTTATAGCTCATTTATTTTCTTTATTCTTCTTTCCCAAAGTATGTGTTTTAAAGCTATGAATATTCCTCTGTGTACAGTGTTAGCTGCATCTAGAAGCTTTGGTTTCTGGTATCTTTGTTGACATTTGGTTTGAAATATTGTATTTCCATTGTGATTTCTTTTCTGTCCCCATAGGTTATTTAGGATCTGTCTTCTAATTTTAAACATGTGGGGATTTTCTAATCATTTTTGGGACTTATTTCCTCCAAGTAATTGTATATAAACATAATTGTAATGTAGTAAGTGAGCATTATCTGTATATCAGTTTTTAAAAATGTGTTGAGGGACTCCTGGGTGGCTCAGTCGGTTAAGCATCTGCCTTCAGCTCAGGTCATGATCCCAGCGTGCTGGGATCAAGTTCCGCATCGGGCTCCTTGCTCAGTGGGAAGCCTGCTTCTCCCTCTACCTACCACTCCCCCGCTTGTGCTCTCTCTCTCTGACAAATAAATGAAATCTTAAAAAATAAATAAATAAATAAAAACGTGTTGAGAGTTGTCTTTTGCTCCATTATATGGTGAAGTATTGTTTTATGATATGCCTTACGTCCTTGGAAAGACTGCATATTCTGCAGTTGAAAAAAATTTTTCCTTTTTTACTAATCAACTTCATGTATAACCCAGTGGGTATTCTGCTAAGCATGAGATTACCACATTGGGTTGATACAATCACAGAAATAAATCCAGAATTATGATATTTTATGACTGTGTGACTTCGGTCAGGTTCCTTATAACCTCTCTGGGTCTTGGTCTCCTGAGCTCTCTAATGAGGGTGAAAGTACCTGTCTCAATAGTAGGATTCTCAATAAGGATTTATACAGTAAGCACTCAGGGTATCTATTTAGAGTCTCTGACAACAGGAACAAACACGAGTTTTCATGTAACATTTGGAAACTGGACTTTTTAAACCAGCATTTGTCAAGGCCATATCATGTGCTAGTGAAGAGGGGTGGCCGTCTGAGCCTTTTCTGTGTTCCCTGCTGAGCGCTCAGCAGTGTTAGTGGGTTCCCATGTCATCCTTACGACAGCTCTACAAAACAGGTACTGTCACGTTATGGTGAAGAACTTGGATCTCACAAAGGTCAGATAGCTCACTCAGGCTCACATTAAGGTAGGACTTGCATGTAGGTCTGTTTTTCTGGTCACCAAACCGTTCTTTTGTGCTGTTACTCTCTTTCCTTTAAATAGACTATTTTTCAGAGCAGTTTTAGGTTCACAGCAAAAATGAGAAGGTGTGGAGACTTCTTGTGCTGCCCCCACCCCTGCACAGCTTCCCCCCGCCGTTGACATCTGGCACCGAAGGGACAGCTGACCCTGAACAATAGGTTTGAACTGCTCAGCTCCACGTATATGCAGATTTGTTAAAGAGCAGGACTGTAAATTTGTTTTCTCCTTCTTAGGATTTTCTTCTCTCTAGCTTGCTTTATTGTAAGAATACAGTATATAACATATGTAGTATACAAAATATGTGTTAACTACTTAGATTATCCGTAAATTTTCTGATCAACAGTAGATTATTTGTAGTTAAGTTTTGGGAGAGTCGGGAGTCACGTGGATTTTTGACTGTGTGGGGATCAGTACCCCTAACCACCTGTTACACATTTGTTACATTGTTATTACCCAAAGCCCATAGTTTACATTATAGTTCATTCTTGGTGTTTTACATTTTATGGGTTTGGACAAAACTATGTGCAGTGACCTGTATTTACCATCATAGTGTCACACAGAGTAGTTTCACTGCTTTCAAGTCCTCTGTGCTCTGCCTGTTCACCGTCCCTGCCCTCACCCCAGGCAACCATGGATCTTTCTAACGTCTCCATAGTTTTGCATTCTCCAGAACGTCATAGTTGGAATCATACAGCATGTGGCCTTTTCATTGACTTCTTTCACTTGGTAATGTGCGTGTAAGTTTCTTCCATGTCTGTTCATAGTTTGATAACTCATTTCTTTTTAGTGCTGAATAATATTTCATTGTCTGCTGTGACCACAGTGTGTTTATTCACCTACGGAAGGACGTCTTAGTTGTAAACATTAACATGCAGGATTTTGTGTGGACATAAGTTTTCAGTTACTTTGGGTAAATACCAAGGATTGTGATTATTGGATTATACATTAAGAGTATGTTTAGTTTTGTAAGAAACCACTGGACTGAACTCTCCTCCACAGCGGCTGTGCCCTTCTGCGTCCCCACCAGCTGTGGATGAGCGTTCCTGTTGCTCCATATCCGTGCCAGCACTGGGTGTTGTCAGCATTCTGGGTTTTGTCCAATATTCTGCAGTTTTATTTGGTGAAATAGTCTAAATCTGTCAACTAGGTTGTTATTAAATGCTATTAAAATCTTTTAAATATACTAATTTTTTGTCTGCTTATTTATTAAGTTACCCAGAAAGATGTATAACTTACTGCCAAATTTAATTGTGGATTTTTCTCTTCCGTGCTTTGTCAGTTTTTCTTTTGTGTGTGTGTATGTGTGTGTGTATGAGGCCATATTATTAGGTGATTGTAATTTAAAATTGTTAATATCTTTCTGATTAATTAAGTCATTCTGAAATGGCCTTTTTTTTTTTTTAAAGTTTATTTTTTTTAGTAATCTCCACACCCAACGTGGAGCTTGAACTCACAACCTTGAGATCAAGAGTCACATGATCCACTGACTGAGCTGGCCAGGCACCCTGAAATGACTTAATAATAATCTCCAATAATGCTTTTTGCCTTAATGTTTATTACATCTCATTTTAAGTGGTGTATGACTTCCTTTATAGGCTGGTATTTGCCTAATATATCTTTTTGCTATTCTTTAACTTTCAATATTTCTATAGTTTCATGCTTTAGATGTTTGTTTTCAATAGTAGTAAGTTAGATTTTATAAAATCCAGTCTAAGAGTAGCTCTTTTGATTGGAATACATAATCCAGGGATATTTAATGTAAATTAGAGGTATATTTATGTGTCCATTTACGGTCTTTTAAAGAAGTTAATTAATTTTGTCTCTAGTACATTGTTTTAGTAAGGCATTTTAATATTAATGTCGTGTCCGAAGTTTCATTGCAGTGAGAGACTTACATAAGTAAAGAAGCTAACAGAAACTTCCTGTTTAATAATGTCGAATGTTTTTTTTATTAAGATATGTTCATTCAGTATGTCCAAAAATTTTAAATTATATCTTTTTTACTTTTTATAAATCCTCAGCTTTTCGCTGTGGCCTGCAGTTTCTAGGCAACATTGCCTCGCGGAATGAAGATTCCCAGTCTGTTGTTTGGGTGCATGCTTTCCCAGAACTCTTTTTGTGAGTATATTGATAAAAGGGTTTCTGACTTCTAAAAAGACTGGTTATATCATTCCATTTACATCAAGTTCAAAAACAGGAAAAACTAACATTTGATGGTAGAATTCAGGATAATTCCAGGTGATTGTTGGTGGGTGGTGGTGGGTTCAGTACGAGCTGGGAGAGGTCATGAAGGAATCTCCTGGGGTTCTAGGAATGTTCTGTGTCTTGATCTGGCTGGTAGTTATGGAGGTGTATCCATATCTAATAATTTATTGGGCTGTACACTTAAGTTTTACGCCCTTTATTGTATGTCAGTTGTATTTTAAGAAAATAAAAGTTTTGATTAAGAAATACTAAGTTTACTATAATTGATAAGAAAACAAATTTTTTTTTTTTTTAAGATTTTATTTATTTATTTGACAGAGAGAGAGGGAATACAAGCAGGTGGAATGGGAGAGGGAGAAGCAGGCTTCCCACGGAGCAGGGAGCCCGATGTGGGGCTCGATCCCAAGACCCTGGGATCATGACCTGAGCTGAAGGCAGACGCTTAACGACTGAGCCACCCAGGCGCCCCGATAAGAAAACAAATTTATAATAAAAAAGCCATAAACCGCTGAAGTATGGGCAGTGAACTAGTCATTTATTTATTTACTGAACACTTCTTTATTTTATTAGGGGGGAGGGGTTAGGGGAGAGGGAGAAAAAATGGGGTGGAGGGTAAGAGGGGAGGGAGAGAGAGAATCTCAAGCAGGCTTCATGCCCAGCTTGGAGCTCAACATGGAGCTTGACCTCATGACCCTGAGATCATGACCTCAGCTGAAATCAAGAGTCATGACTGACTGTGTCACCCAGGCGTCCCTGTTGAGCACTTCTCATATGCCTGGCACAAGGCTGTATGTTTTGGTAGATCTGGAGAGCTGTAAGATGTGGATAACCAATCTGTCCAGATTGGTTCATGGTGCTTTTCCTGGTGATGTACTATTTTGTTTTGATCAGCGTTGTTGGTTCGTAAGAAGTTGAGCATGGAGATAAAGGGTGAGCAGGTAGCAGAGGAAGGATAGGTAATAGGAGAGTCACTGTCTGAGAGTGGGAGGCCTGGCTTCTCATCCAGGCTCTGTTGCCAACGAGTGGGGTGTCTTTGGTTGTGGCAACAGTGTAAGCAGTAGAGTAGGAGTTGTCGTTCCTGTGCCCTGGGCTGGGCGTTCTCTGTGCGTTATCCCTGTCCTGGTCAGCAGCCCTACAGGGCAGGTGGTGCTATCCCCTGTGGGACAGGCTGGGGAACTGAGGTTGCTGGTAAATGGCATAGCTGCTCTCTGGATCCAAAGGCTGCACCTGCTCAGATAGCAGCTGCTGAAAGTCTCTGCTGCCTTCCCTGGTGGTAGGGTGTTCTGGGCTGTGCATAAAGGGTGATGTTCAGATCAGATGAACTCGATATAAACAGATAACGGTTCACTGAGTCTACAACTGGCTCTCAAATTCCTGCAAATAATTAAGAGTTAGAGGCATAAAATCTTTATGATTAATGATAATTAAGCTTAGGTGGGAGGAAAGAATTGTGGAATTCAAGCTACAGGAATAGAAATTACTTATTCTTGAGAATTCATTCCTTTAAAACACTTTGAATACCTAATATCTGTGAGGTTCTGAGCTAGGTAAGTGGAATATGGGTAATTTAGATATGTTTATTACTTCCCCAAAGCCCATCTTCAGTGGGGGAAATAAAGGAATAGGTGAGCACACTGTAGCGTGAGAACGGACATAGTGAGGGTCAATCCAGACATCACAGAAACACAGAGGAGAGGCCCTTCAGCAGGGTGGTCAGAGAAGTCATGACAGTTTACATGGTGGTTTTACTGATGGTGTCAAATCCGATCCTCACTGAAGCCCCATGAGATAGGCCAAGGAGGTCGTTGTATTCCATTTTTATATCAGAAAACACACTTGCAAGAGGTTATTTGACTTCACTCTGCATGTATCTGTGAGACAAATATAACCAAATTTGAATTCCAGCTTTGGGAGGCACTGGCTTTGTGCCCTCAGGCAAGTAAAGTCAACACAGTCTTTTTCTGTAATATAAGGATAATATTTCCTCCAGAAGAGTATTATGACGTTTAACTGAAAAAACAAGTCCTGCCATAGTGCACGACCCATAATATTGTTGACAGTTGATAAATCAGTGACCTTCCTGAGATCACACAGCTGATGGGTGGTGAAGCAGGACTCCCACTGGGGCTCTTGCCTCCCCATTCTCTCTCTTTCTTGCCAGGATACCATCTTTCCTCTAAACATTCTGTCCCTCATAACTAGTGAAGGAATGCCTGTCGTTAATGATGTAGCATGTTTTGCCTTTGTTTTTTTTTTTTTTTCCTAACAGGAGTTAACATTTTAATGTTTTATAAATGTAATCATTTTATCTTTTTCTTTAATCAGATGGCATTTGCTTTTGAGTCTTAAGTCAGCTGCATCTTTAGTATTGGATGCTTTGTGTTGTGACTCATTTTATATTGCTATTTTTACAGTAAATAGTATACTTGTTTCAAAGTGTTGTACTTCATTAAATCCTTAAAAACATCAGTAGGCACTGAATTTGTTCATGGGATGATTCTTATATATGAATCATAATCATATTTTATCGTATTGCTGAATGGGGCTCACACTCTCCTTTCTTTATTTGGAAGGTCTTGCTTAAATCATCCAGACAAAAAAATTGTTGCCTACTCGTCAATGATTTTGTTCACATCCCTGAATTCTGAAAGAATGAAAGAACTGGAAGAAAACCTGAACATTGCTATCGACGTCATTGAAGCTCACCAGAAGCAGCCTGAATCAGAATGGCCGTAAGTATCTTGTTAGAAATTTGATTGCTTAAGAACATTCTAACAGATCACTTTCCTTGCAGAGTAAGAATTTGAATTCTAATAATTGAACGATACAAGAAAAGTTTCTCCACAGCACCTGGAGGCTTGGGAAAAGGAAAGTGAGGTGTTAGAATTTTTGTGTGGTGGCAAGGACTGGGACACAGCCTGAGAACACGCAGCCCTCTGGGGCATTCAGATCAGACTGCTGTGGTTGTACCAGGTAGTTCATTAAGGATTAGACCTTGATATGTGTCTCATGGGCTTCTGCTCAGTTGAGGTATTCACTGTCTTCCAGATTGTTATGTCTGTCTCCCACCTCCGTACATAATGCTTCATTTCTCTCTGCTTATTTTTAAGATTTTTCTTTGTCTTTTCAGAAGTTTAATTATGATGTCTTGGCGTGGATCTCTTTGGGTATATCCTCTCTGGGTTCTCTAGACTTCTTGAATCTGAAGGTTTATGTTGCCAAATTTGGGGAGTTTCCAGCCATTGTTTGTTTGAATACTTTTTCAGCCTCTCCTTCGGGGCCTCCGTGTCAGGCCATAGAAGGCCAAGGCTGAGGCTGACTGTAATCGGTAAAGACACAACAAGTCACTGTTAGATTTAGACAGTTTGTTACTTCAGTGGACGGGGAAAAGGAGAAGCCTTGATCCTCGTCCCACATGCTGACAAGGGGCTGGAAGACTGGGATGACCGTAGGGAGATGCCCCATTGCTTGAAGCGGTTTTACATTCTGAGGGGGTGGGCAGACAGCTCTGTATCTCATCAGAAGGACATCTCATCTGAGTGTCCCTGGCAGCCTCCCACGGGGCAGGAAGGAGACGCCTCAGAAACCTCGGGCCTCCCATTCTTGGATTCTGGGAGGATCACAGTCTGTTGTGCTTTTGTCCGCATGGCCTGTGTGCATGTGTGGGAGGCCACAGGGCCCTCAGAGCAGTGCCTGTACTCTGATGACACAGACCTTCGTCTTTTCTTGTTGCCCTACAGTTCCCTGAGGCTCCTCTGTTCAGGGTTTTGACTTTTTGTGTCTTTTAGTTTTGTTGTTTGCATTCTGTTTTCTCTTTTACGCCAGTACCTCACTATCTCGATGACTGTAGCTTTGTGTAAGTCTTAAATCAGAAACTAAGTCTTCCAACTTTGTCTTCTTTTTCAGGAGTTTTTTGGGCTCTTGTGGGTCCCTTGTGTTATATATTAATTTTAGGATCAGCTTTTCAGTTTGTTCAGAGGAGCAGCTAGAGTTTTGGAAGACAGTACGTGGATCCGTAGTTGAATTTGAGGAATATTGCCATTTTAACTAGATTAAGTTTTCCAGTCCATGTGTAGGGGTATCTTTCCATTTATTTAGGCCTTACTCACTTCTTTAATGAAGTTCTGTAGCATGTTCGTGTACAAGTCTTACATAGCTTTAGTTCAGTTAATTCTAAGTACTTTATTTTTGATGCTATTTAAGGGGAATTGTTTTCTTAATTTCATTCATGGATTGTAAATGGCAAGTCTATAGAAATATGGTTGATTTTTGTATGTTGATTTTATATCCTGCAACCTGAGCTGAACTCATTATTAGTTCTGATGGTTTTTTGCGATATTTTTTTTTTTTTTTAAGGACTTTGTTTATACAGGATCATGTCTTCTGCAAATAGATAGTTTAACTTTTTTCTGTCCAATCAGGTCGCCTTTCTTTCTTTTTCTTATGCAGTTGCTCTGACTAGTACAATGCTGAGTAGACGTGAAGAGCAGACCTCTGCGTCTCACTCCTGATATCAGGTGGAAGGCTGTCAGTCTTTCACCACTGAGCGTGAAGTTTGGTTCTCCGTAGTGACCCTTCTTCAGGATGAGTAATTTTCCTGTACTTACTCGTAGTTTGTTGAATGTTTTTTATCATGAAAGCTGTTAGATTTTATCAAGTGCTTTGTCTGCATCTGTTGAGGTTTTTGCTCCTTATCCTATTACTATAGTATATTATGGTGATTAATTTTATTTTTTATTTTTTTATTTTTTTCTGAGATGGAGTGCGTGCATGGTGGGGGAGGGGCAGAGGGAGAGGGAGAGGGGGACAGAATCTCAAGCAGACTCCAAGCTCAGTATGGAACCCTGTGGGGGGCTTAATCTCACAACCTTGAGATCATGACCTGAGCTGAAATCAAGAGTCAGACGCTTAACTGACTGAGCCATCCACGTGCCCCTAATTTTGTTTTATTTTAAACCAGCTTGTCATCCTGGGGTAAATCCCACCTGCTTATGGTATATGATCTTTGCACGTTGTGGATTTGACTTGCTCATGTTTTGTTAGGGACTTATGTTTCTGTGTTGATAAGGCATATTGGGCTTTAGTTTTCTTTTTCTTGTGATGCCTTTGCCTGGTTTTGGTATCAGGTTAACACTCGTCTCACAGAATGAGTTGAGAGGTGTTCTCTTATGTTTCTGTTTTTTGTTATTTTGGGGAAAAGTTTGCAAAGGACTGGTGTTAATTTTTCTTTAAATATTTGGTAGAACTCACCAGTGAAGCCATCTGGTCTTGGGCTTTTTTATCATTGTCGGAAGTTTTTTGATGACTCATCCAATCTCTGCTTGTTATAGGACTGTTTAGGTAGTTTACTTCTTCTTGGGTCAGTTTCACTAGTTTGTGTCTTTCCTGGAATTTGTCCACTTGGCCCAGGCAGCCTGATATGTTGGCACATAGCTATTCGTAGTACTCCCTTAGATTCCTTTTTATTTACATGAGGTTGGTAGGAATGTTTCCTCTTTGTTCCTGATTTTAGTAATTTTAGTCTGTATTTTGGTTGCTGCAGCTTAAGATTTGTCAGAGTTTTGATCTCAGAGAACCAGCTTTTGGTTTCATTGATTTTTTTTTTTCTTTCCCTGTTCCTTTTCTATTCTCTATTTCATTTATTTCTGCTGTGATCCTTATTTATCCTTCCTTATCAATTTGTGTTTAGTTTGCTCTTTTTCTAGTTTCTTTAAGAAACTATAAGTTTTGGTTATTGATGAAAGGGTTTTTTTAATGTAGGTATTTACATCTATAAATTTCTTGGTAAGAGCTGTATCTCATATATTTTTATCTTAATCCATCTCAAGTTATATCTAATTTCTCTTATGACTTTTTTCTTTGACCTGTTGGTAATTTAGGAGCTTGTTCAATTTCCCGTATTTGTGTATTTCCTGAATTTCCTTTTGCTATTGAGTTTTAGTTTTGTTCCATTGTGGTCAGAGAACACATTTTATAAAATTCTGTTTTTAATTTTTAAATATATTGAGGCATGTTTTATGGCCAAGCGCCTGGTCTGTCATGGAGACTGTTCCATGTGCGTTGAGAGTATTGCAGATTCAGGTTTTGGTGCTGTGTAGACGCCCGTTGGGCCTTCTGTTTCTTGTGGTCTTCCGTCCACCTGTTCCGCTCATTACTGGAAGTGGACCGTTTTCTGTTTCTCCAGTCGGATCTGTTGTGTTTTGCATTTCTTATTTTCAGGCTCTGTGGTCAGGTACACTTTGATGTTTGTAATTGTTACATCTTGAGGAATTGGCCCTTTCATCATTGTAAAAATCACCAAAGATGCAGTTGTTCTTCGTTTTGTTCCCCAGTTTTCCTGAGGATCTATTTTATGCATGTTTTCACGGAGCTGTCAGTGTGCTCGGGGCACAGGTCGTGTCCGCGCAGGGGGCCTTGAGGGGGTTGGGAGAGGGAGGAGCAGGCTTCTGGCTGAGCAGGAACCAGTAGTAGCCCCACCTGCACTTCAGGGGCGAGGGATCAGCTTTCTCAGTTTGGGTCTCTTTCAGCATAAACTTGATTGTTCTGTTGAAATTATACCTAGTTTTTAAGTTGTTTATTTTTCTGAACATTTATTTGTATTTGAATTACCGTGTGCACGCAAACACAAGTTGGTGCATGAAAATAGTATGATATCGTGCTTGACTTAGATTACCTCCCTCCAGATGCTGATGTTTCATAAACACGATGGATGACTCATTAGCGCCTGCTTACTTAGAAAAATTTTCTGTAGCCGAATTCTGTTTCATTTAAGTATCTTATCTTAGATCACAGGCAATTTTCTGGCAGCAATGGAGTAAAGGGCAAAAGATGAAATCCACTTCATAAGAGCTCAAGTTAGAGTTCTCAGAGGTCAGCAGTGGAGGTAGGCGGGAAAAACGATGGGAGTTAGTGGTAGTAGCTGATGTCTTCTGTCACGCAACAGTGATGCTTCGATTTGTGTGAGAGGGACTCTGCATTTGCTAAACAAAAATGGGATCCTGAAATACAGGCATACTTCAGAGATATTGCAGGCTCAGTTCCAGACCACTGCAGTAAAGCAAACACTGGAGTAAAGAGAGGCAAATGAAATTTTTGGTTTCCCAGCGCACGTAAAAGCTACATTCACACTATAGTGTAATTTAGTAATTTAGCATTTTCTCTTACAAAAACAGTGTACGTACCTTAATTTAAAAATACTTTATTGCTGGGGCGCCTGGGTGGCTCAGTTGGTAACTGTCTGCCTTCGGCTCAGGTCATGATCCCAGGGTCCTGGGATCGAGCCCCACATCGGGCTTCCTGCTCAGCAGAGAACAGAGCCTGCTTTTCCCTCTCCCAACCCCCATCTTGTGTTCCCTCTCTCGCTGTGTCTCTCTCTGTCAAATAAATAAAATCTTTAAAAAAAATACTTTATTGCTACAAGATGCTAACCCATCAGCTGAGCTTTCAGTGAATGATAATCATTGATCACAGATCATCATAACAAATATAATAATAAAAAAGTTTGAAATATTGTGAGAATTACCAGAATGTGACCAGAGACACGAGGTGAACAATGTTGGAAAACTGGTGCCAACAGACTTGAAGACACAGGCTTGCCACAGACCTTCAATTTGTAAAGAATGCTTTCTCTGCGAAGCATAGTGCAGTGAGGCGCAGTAACATGAGTTAAACCAGCATCCAGAGGCTTCCAAAAAAATTGTTACTGTTTACAAACGTTAAATATGAACCCACC